CAATGATTTCCCAGCAGTTTGCCCTGACTTGTTCATGGTTGATGGAGTTGGTTTCCTCATATAGTTCTGGAGGGTTGAAGACTCTGCTTTCTGCCTTTGTCACTCTCTATACATCTCAACAATTCATTCCTTTCACTCATCATAGCCCACCAGCATTAATGCTTTAACACCGATTGCTGAAATCATCATGATGTATGAAGAGGGAACCCCTTGCTTGAGGGCCTTGACCATCCTCCCATTGTTTGCCATATCTCCCCAGATTCTGGTGAGCTTAGCAAGGCATTGTAGCTTGTTGAAGTAATCCATAGCCACCTTGTCTCCCATTTTGTACTTCTTGATCTTCTGTTTATGTACTTCTTGTACTGTGAGGTCAATAAACTTGTCATTCAGCATTTGTTTAAACACTGGCCAGAATGGGTATCAGTAATGCTCCCAAGTTGTGGAGCAGAAGTTTGGGGAGATCAAGATCCACCAATTCTTCACCTTTTCCTCGAGGTAGGAGGTGGCAAAGACAACTTTGTTCATGTCAGTGCTGAGGTACCCAATGTATACTTTGAAATACTGTTTGCAATCAACAAGAAACTGGTCAATGTTGTTAGAGGCCCCTTTGAAGAGGCAAGGTTTTCAAAGTAAGTCAGGTCAGCATTGGAGGATGGTGGCATTGTTGGGCAGAGCATCCATCAGGTTGGGCCATTCTGTAAATGGAGGTCAGCCCCACTCCAGCAGAGGTCCCAGGAAGGAGTGAAGCAAATGGTCATTGGCAACTGGACTTCCTTTCAGGGCAGCATCTTTCTGGACAGTCACCCCATCTCATATTGTAAACCTGAGGTGGATTGCCTCAGGGTCATTTTTCATCAGTTCCTTCCCTGTTCCACTTGTTGTTGCTTCATCAGCTGGTGGTTGTCCTCCAAGGAGTTGGCTTCCACAATTGGTCCAGGGGTTTTAGAATCCTTTATGCTGTGGTGTCAGCAAGGTTGGCTTATTTTGGGTTCTGGTGAGCCAAGTGGCTGTGCTTCAGTTTGACAGATCTGAGGTTTTGGCCTGGCTGTAAGTGCTTGGGGCCATGTATATGGCCTGCTTGGGTGGAATGGGCAGGGAGTGCAGCATTGGTTTTGGCTGGTTTCTGGTCTGATATGGCAGTATTGGCTTGAGAGGATCTTCTGGATGCCATTGGGCATACTCCTCCCAAGCATATTTTGTTCCTGAATACTGCAAAATGTCTCTTTTTTCAGTGTTATCTGCATACTTATACTTAAGTCCCAAGGGTATCACCTTCCAGTGGGTGTCCCTCCATAAGAAATGTACTCCCTGCTCATATAGTCCTTGATATTCCTTCCTCCTTTCTTGTTCCATTTCTTCTCACAACACTTCTTTATCAATGTCTTCATCGGCATATCCCATGAATTGTTCAGACTGAAAGGGGCTCTCACTGTCCTCTTTGTCCCCTTCATCTCCACTGTCCTCTTCCTTGAGGAGGAAACTGATGGGCAGGTCATAGATGGATGGTATGACTGGCCTGAGGGTTGTTGGAGATCCCATTGTCATTCCTGGTGCTGGGCCCAGCTGCTCCTGAGTCAGGTTTAGCTCATTGGATGGAGGGGCCTCAGAGCTGACTGTACCATGTCCCACCTCTTGCTCTTTCTTCTGCCAGTCTCTGGCTATAGAGCTTGAAGTCTTGCTGGAACCTGAGATTGAGGAACTGGTGGGTGACTCTACTGCCCAGGAATTGCTGAAGGGCTCTGTTGGAGATGTGGACATTGTCTGATACCTGGAGCCCATAGGCTCCAAGGATGGAGTCAGCATTGGAGAAAATGGAATCAGTCCTGTCAGGATATTGAAGGGAGGGAGGGTGATTGCTAGCCCAGCCCCTTTGGACTGCCTCATCTCTGCTGATGATACTGGCTGGTCCTGTCCATAGGTCTGTTTCTGAGTTGGGCTCTCTGAAAGGGAATCCAGAAGAGTCTGTTCAAAGGCTATATCAGCTGGAGGAGGCTGATCTCTGCCTGTCTGCCTTCTCCTGTCATTGTTGTTGTTGACTTTGTCAGTCATACTCTGCTTCTTCAAATCTTCATCATGCCTCTTCCTAGATGTACTCAGTGAGCTCCTCCTGAGCTCACTGGATCTCCTCTTGCTGGCCTTGGTTCTGCTGCTGCTGTCATACTGCTGTGTTGTAATCAAAGGGGATCCAAAGGTTCCAGTCCAGAAATACTCACTGTATGATTCTGTCTCTCATGGCCCTTCCCCTTGTGCTGGCTGTTCTGTCTTCTGGCTGACTCCTGATGTGGAGGTGATGGTGTGGGTCTTCTGCCACAGTGATGGTGAGCTCCACGTTCATGAAATCTGGGTGGACACTCCTTCTGTGGGGGTTGTCATGCTCCAACCTGCTGAGGGATGGGCTCAAGCTGGAGGTAGCAGGAGAGGAGCCATGGGGGGTGTTGGGGATTGTGCAGGGTCTCAAAGTCACCTGAGTGGCATCAAGGGAATCCTGAGCATGGTTTCCAATCCCTGGGATGATTGGGGAGGTGAGATGGCCAGAGGCAGGGGAGTCCAAAGAGATGTCACCAGAGACCTCTGCAGGCTCCAGAGCGACATTCAAGGTCTAAGGATTCTGAAATCCTGTGAGAGCAGGGTTGCAGTCTCTGCTAGTTCATCAGAGAGAGTATCAGTGTCCCTCTTCTTCTGAAAGGCACCCTGAATCCAGGTTGCTATTCCTGGTTTCTGATATGGGTTGCCCTTGCAACTGGAAGGATGCTCTGACTGAGGCAGGAATGTCATGGAATGGTAAATCTGGGGTTATGTTACAGAGGATGATATGGATCTGTCGGAATGCTTGATAGTGTCTGACTATCCAAGCTGTTATTGATTGTCATCCACAGCAGAGGGTGATAATGGTGAGAAGTCCAAGTAGCATTCTGACAATGAAAGCTATTAACTCAAAGAAGTCATGATTAAGGTTTGCAGTAGTCACTGGAGGCATTTGGTTTCTCAGCACAATTGGGCTTGAGAAAGGGAAGCTAGAAGCTTTGAGCTAATTGTTAAGCCCAAATAACATGTGACTAAAACACATAATAAACTGATGCTGCTTCATGTTTGGGCAGTCACATCAGAGTCCATTATTTGTGTCTGTTTGTTTATATATTTCAAGGCCTTGCAGTTGGCTCAAGATAAGATGGTAGAAGAATAAACTTTAGCTCAAAGCTGGGGTTACTACAGTGAGAGCTACACTGCTTATATACCAGTCATCATCCATTCTAAAGATATAACTATCTTATTGTGAATCCTGGCATTATATAGTGTTTTGTCCAGTGTCATGAAGCTACCTACAAAAAGATATTGTCTGTTGTTGAGCAGTTACCATTGCATTGAAGGACAATGACTGACTGGGTGTGTTGTCCTGACTAAGCCCTGGTCCCATGATCCTAAGTGCTGGCTAAGCACCCTGACTAAGCAGAAATAGGGGTCAATCCCTCAAGTAAAAAGATAAAAATGAGGAAAAATCACAACACCTCATATCATATCAAGATATGATACATAACTATTGGGTGGATTAATTGATGTGTGCCAGACCAGAAGTGGTGCATATTGTGAGTCAGATGAAACATCTGGACACTGAGAAAGAGAACATAGTCATTGTGGCTGACTCCAGACATGAGAGATAATACAAGGGTGAGCCTGAAACAGTTCTGCAGTGTCAGAACACATCATCAGAGAAATAAGAAAGCAAGCAGACCTGGCTAGGCCAGCTAACTGATGTCAGCTAGCAAGGAAACAGCAGGCACAGTTCTGGAACAGAACAGAATAAGCATGGCAACTGTGATATGCACATGAATAATACCTGCAGGATCTTGGATGGAGTCTCATGCTTTGATGATACTATAGTAGGATTGTATTAGTAAGTACTACAGTAGAGTATTTAAATACTGCATTGTATGAGTAGAATATAAGTTTCTGACCCCACAGTTGTGGCATATTGGGCACAGAAAGCCTTGCACTCTAGCTCTGGGTTTGTGTTTGTAACTTCAGGCAAGAGAATAAACTTATTATTGATATCATTGAGAGAGGTTTGAGAACTGAGCAAGGCACAGAAGCTCACAAGGGACTTGAGTCTGAATTGATAAGAGGTTTTGGATTGTGCTCTAACCTGAGAATAAGAGAGCGGTGTCTGAAGGGCATCATCTTGAGTTTTTGAGGTATTTGTGATACATGGCACTATAGATGGCAGAGGTTCAAACCCTTTGGTCTGTTGGACAGCATTTACTGTGTTTTGTGTCTCTGGATTGCATATGTTTGAATCCTGTGGGTCTACAATCGGTTTGAAAACTTGTGTACAGAGATCTGAGCTCTTTGGCACTTGTGGACATGTTTGTGATTGGTTTCTGCTTAGAGCACTAAGCTTTAGTTGTGTATTGTGTGTATTAGGGATTTTGATTTGATCTGAGCTGTGCTTGGAACCTTTTGAGAGTTTTGCAGCATTGTTTTGACATATTGTGTTGAGCTGCAGTATCCCTTTGCCTTGAGGCCCAGCAACATTCATCGCCACCTCTTGTTTTTGATAAAATGAAAAGCTTTGAGACTTAGAGAGCCATAGGACTGTTGTATGCATGCTATTTGCATGCAGTGGATTCATTGAACAAGACAGTTAGATTTGCTGTGACTACTTTTATTGCATTATAATACCCCCATGAACTAAGAGTATTGTGTTTATGTTGGTGTGGTTGTGATCAGTGGATAACACTCTGCTGTGACTGTTTTCACTTTACATATACCCAAAACCTCTTCAACAGATGTTATTTTTTAGGAATTTACATTACCATAGTCATGTTTACTCTATGGATGATAGGTGTGCTATGTCATGATTGGGTTTTTTTTTTCACTGTCTTGACCTGTGAGTCCTAGCTGTGAATCAGAAACACAGTTTGGTGGTGCTATGTCCGAGGAGCATTTATCAGTCATGGCCAAACGGATGAGACACAATTTGATTATATGTTCAGTGTACCGAAATGGATGCTTATCAGCTCCGTCTCATTTGTTCTCAACACGATCATAGCCGACTTTGTCATAGTAAGTCACCATCAATTCGTTTTATAAAATGTTTCCAACAGTTGAAGTCGAAATACGTCAGGTTTGGCGCTGCTGGACCGTTTGGGAATAGAAGTGGATAGTTGCTGTGATGCCCTCACTGTGCAATATCGTCGGGATAGGCATGCGGTTGCACGTTCCGTATTTTGGTCGTTTTCTGACTTGTAAATGCTAGTTTTCGCTGGCTTCAGTATATATCAGCAAGCGATGATGCCACCACCAAGGAGCGCATGGAGTGCAACTCGGATCGACTGGCTCTTGCCGTACATGTGTATATCGGTGGCAGTAACCGTTGGTTGCACCACGCTTATCGTCTTCAGGATTTGAAATGTGCATCACAGAACGGATAAACTCGCCCAGCTCCAGTCCTATCGGTCTTACAAGTTCAGCAGGGTCATCTGTACATTGATCGAGTCGGCCGCTATGTACGCCGTATCCATGACTGTCACATTGGCATTCTACAAACAGGGAGGTCTCGACACCAATTTTCGTATATCTATTACATCTACCGTTACTGTGAGATTAATTCCGTTCGTGCATGAGTCATTGAAATCTGATCGGATCGTCTACAGGGATTGGCCCCTGCACTTATAGCTGTCCAAGTTGTATGTGGCAGTACAAGGCCCGCGACGACATGGCAAGAACCGCCCAGGTCAATTCTAGAGTTCAACCACACTCTTGACCCGACTAGCACGTTCCCCACCATGCGTCTTGACATCCATGAAGATTCTGGGGCGTCAACGTCGTCGGATGAGAGACTTACAGAGAGGGAGTCAGATCCTGAAAAGGAATGAGGTAAGGATCGGGTCGGAGACGAGGTAGTTAATGGCCAGTGGCCTATTGTTGAAGTCGGGTTATAGAACAGGGATGGAGAATGCATTTTTAGAATATAAAATTTATTCAATCTGTAAGCGTTTCTCCAAGCTGAAACTGTATGTTGACCAAGGTACATCACTTACTTGACTGTCTTCCGTCCTATCATTAATAATTGATCTGGTCTCCACACAACAGGATAAAAATACCCAGTGCTATTGCTCTGCTGTTCTCACACTTGTCATCCATTTTCTCTAGTATCTTCATGCAGCAACTGTCACGCCTTCTCTGACTTCTGTTCATATCGGCTCCCTTGGCTCGTCGTATTCTCACTCGAAGATGAATGGTACCTGGCATCTTCAAGTTACTTTCAGCGCTGTCGTTCTTGATAGAATTCGAGGCTCGACTTGTCGGTGCACCGGATAGCCTCCCCTGGTGCTCCGCTACATCTACTAAATGCACCATACGATGTTCTCTCTCGGGGGGATAGGAAACCTGCGAATGGGCTACGTCTGATCATGAGGCCCACAGAGCAGACCATCTGCATTCTCTTCTATGCGGTTGGCTTTGTTTGTGCAGCCCTTCCTTTTCACAGAACCATTCCTATTTCTCCACCTGACGCTACACGAGGCTGTTGGCCGGTTTCCCTACGTATATAGGAGGTTGCCTCGTTGTGATGCATTTATGTGTTATAGAATACTGTTCTCCGATGCTTATTGGTCAGTCCCGATATCAGCTGCCCTTGGACGTGGTGTCATTGTTCTCGTGGGTTCCTTGCGTCAATCTCCTCATCCACACCGCACATGTTTCTGTCGGCGTATCTTCAGTCTTTAAATTTTTAGAATCTTGAATCCGGGATATAGAAAGCATAAGGTCTGTCATTGTAAGTTATAACACATGAAGGGACTTACAGATATTATTTTTGATCCCTTTGTTAAGTCACTAAAGTCATGTACCACATGCGTCGTCCTTGACAACTTCTTACCCTTGTTCCTATCGATTGGTTGATACGGAGCGAACAAAGCGCCGGCTATACCCGGTAGCTTTGAACGTTCCTCTCGGCATCGCGGCTAGCCACGAGATATAAAGGGAACACTTGATTTGATTCAGCATGGGATTGCCTTCCTAAACAGTCATCTAACCTTTTTTCTACTCTGCATTTACTATCGATATGACACCGCCACGAATGGCACCCGGTCAACGAGGAGGGTCTCCCCACCCTGCTACCCAGCAGCGTGGAGGAACTCCTCGAGGGCGAGGTGGCGCACGAGGTGGAGGAGCCGCTGGGCGACAAGGCGGGCCTAGCGTCCCCGTTGCATGTAAGTTTTGCGATGTTTAGAAAGAAAAAAAAATCTATTATTGTTATCGTTTGATTCTTTAAGCTGCTGTAGAGGCCATCGGTGTTCGTCGTCCAGGATTGAGTACTGCGGGTAGGGCAAGTACAGTTCGTGTAAATGCATGCGAAATGAATGTCCCTGACATCACCGTTTACCATTATGACGGTAAAGTTTTTTTTTGTTTCTGTTGTGGTGGCTAACATGTTCCTAGTGGGTTCGTATTTTCAAGATCTATTATCGAATCTATAGAACGAACGACCTTTCATTTCTCTAGCGATTAAGAAGACACTCAGGGCGGCTTTGAAAATGCTGTTCATCGAGGCTCTGCAAGTCCAGTACCCCGATGTCTTTATCAAAGCAGCTGTGTATGATGGGAAGAAGAATTTGTATACGAGCCATAGGTTGGATTTTGGTACTGGGAATTCTCGCCAGGTACGTTTCTTGGCCCATCGAATTCTATGATTTATCTTGATGAACGCAGTTCAACGTGACTATGATGCAAGGGACTGGCATGTCCAATTTCAAGATCACCATCACGAAGGTGAGAGAGATTAACATGGAGTAACTCTCATTCGTCTATTGAGTAAGATTAGAACTGATTGTCCGTAGAGTGCTTAGCAGGTACGTGGCTGGTCAGCAGTCATGGGACAAAAACGTCTCTACTGCTCTTACAGTACGTGTCGTCATTTTTGTTCACTACGTGACGTGACTTCGAATTCTCTAGGCCTTGAACATTGTGATTCGGATGGCGCCCTCTCTCACCTATCCATTCCAAGTGGGCTCGTTCTATAGTGACAAGATCAAGGTGCCGCTAGCCAATACAGGGTTAGAAGCCTGGCAAGGGTACTTTCCGTCAGTTAGGCCCACTTTGAACCGTCTGATCATCAACATCGATATTTCCACCGGCGTGATGTTCAAACCTGGTTCGCTAATGGAAACCTGTCTTGAATTCTTCACCGGGAATCGTGGAAACAATCCAGACAGGTATTTACGAACATCTGGACCCCAGGCGTTATCTCCGATGCAGAGACATCGTTTGCAAACATTTCTTTTTGGCCTCAACGTCGAGGCCGAATCGGCCGCAGGTGTAAGGAAAAAATATTCCATTCACAAACTGTCTGAGCGAGATGCTATTTCGACTGTTTTCACTCCGGCTGGTGGTGCACAGACCAACGTGGCGCAATACTACGCTCAGGCCAATCGGCCTCTACGGCATGCCAATATTATCTGCATCCAGGTATGATCTATATTCTCATAGCCCAGGAAACATGTTGACAGTCTGCTAGACTGCGAATGATGCCGTGATTCCTCTAGAGCGATGTTACATTTTACCCGGTCAGCTTTCTCGCGCTGAACTATCTCTGGATGCTACACGAGCCATGGTCGAGTTTGCGACCAAAAACCCCGATGACCAATTGAGGGCAATCAAGACTGGGATTCAGGTTCATTTTTTGTTCTACTAATGTTATTTACTCATATTCCCTCAGGTTCTTGCATTTGGACAATCCCGATATGTCCGCGACTTTGGACTAGACATCAAGAATGCTTCCTGACCTATGGATATTCCAGCACAGATCCTCAATGCGCCGGAGCTCGAATACGGACAAGGATTCAAGCAAAAGTTGGTTGTGAGTATTTGACTTGTTTGGAATATGTAAACCTTCTTGCTAAATCATCACTTATCAGTGACCGAGGGATGAAGCTTGGAACCTGTAATGTCATGGATACTTACTAATATCTATATTTAGTCTTCACTTTCTTCACTCTTCTTTTTATTTTGATGCAGTACAAGAAATTTCTCGATGTTTCTCTCTAAATTTCTCCTGGTATCTTTTAGAACTTTGCAATAATATAAAACTGTATGAAAATACTAGAAGAAGAATCAAATTTTTACTCTATTGAACCTTATAACTTTGTGTGGATTCTAAGTGATTGAGTCTGACTATGCTTAGTGCTTGTCAAACCCTCTGCTTTTCTGACTATGCCTAGTGCTTGTTAGATATCTCTAGTTATGCTTAGTGCTTGCTAGATCTACTCTAGTTCCTTTGTAGGTAATTGAACTTACAACTCTCTTTGCTATGCTTAGTATCATAGGCTATATTTGAGTTTAACTTAGCTCATACATTGTCTATACTATGCTTGTTCTCAACATTGGTGGACACATTGCTGTTACCTATTTGAAGAAATCGATTACCACAGTATTTTCAATCCATTCCAGCATTTCATCACTCACCTGCTCATGCAGAAACCAGCAATCATGCCAACATCAATCTCAGAAGTTCCTTTTTCAGATTCTCATAATCACTCTCCAACACAGGACACATTCAACTGTACTTAGTAGCTGTTGGCAGTAGAATAGGAAGTAGTTTTTGAAAAGAGAGAGGTAGAGAAGGTAGATATCCTTCAGTACAAAGTATCTAGGTATTTATACTGTATCTAGAGTGGCATAGGGAGTAAATGAGACAAAGGCAACTGAGAAACAATATAAGGGTACAATAGTCATAAAGCACAAATCCTCTACACAACAACTTCTTTACATTCCCTGATACACTGGTCCTATTAGTTTCACCAATTAAACCTGAGGAAGTAGAGGAAGATGAGAGTCACAATGTCAAAAGACTATGGCCTGCCTCTGTTGCTCTTCATACATTTGCTTGGCACTCCAATCTGAAGGAAAAGAAAGAGCATGCACTAGAGATCCTTAAGTTATGTACCAAGATTGGAAAGGGATTATATACCACCCAACACCTCTCCTACAACTGGTACACAAAGACATTTGCTGAAGAAACAGAAATGTTAGACCACTTGCTCCATCATTTTGTTGCTGCCCTGACAGATGATGCAGTGATGTGCTTAGTAATAGCTAAATGACTAAGAGAGGCAAATGAGGAATGAACTCTCAAATGCCAACACCTAACCACTCAATACACAGTCACCAAATACAGTTGAGGTCAGTTGTTTTGAGTATGATAGAAGCACTCTTGCAGTCTTAAGTAAAATCAAAGAAACAGTCAACAAAGGCAGTTATTCAACTCTATCTTGCTTTCTAAGATGCAATACTCATGAGAGTAGTTTATAGCAATGTTTAAGTATAATTAGGACTTATAATCAATGCACAATTGCACTCCAAATCAACTTAGAATATTCCAAAACCCAATGAACTCTGAAACCCAAATATTAAGTCTATTAAGCACTTAGACTTGACTAGCTGCACTCTTGGCTGGCTAGTGGTCCTTAAAACTGAAGAACTTGTATTCTTATGCCGAAACCCTTATAGTTTGAAACCCAAATTAATCTGAAACTCAAAATACAGTTATTATTCCAATCCAATCCTCTCTAAGTGACAAAGCAACTTAAATAAATCACTAAGTTGAAGCAGAACTCAAAATCCGTTGTCCCAGGGACTAGCTACAGTGGGCTAGAAGGTCTGAACATGGGGGTGGGTCGCTTGCCTGCTATTTCCCCCCATTCCCTTCTTTTATACATCAACAACAGGTATAGAATCTATAAATAAAGTATTCAAAATAGTATTTCTCCTGTTTTAAAGCAGAATCATGCTATTATTCTGGAATGGCAGCATTCCTGGACTCTCCTAGGCTTTTCCAGGCCCACCTGGCCACTGCACAGCTTTATTTTAAGCCTACAGTGCCTGTGGGTACCTAACTCCTTTCTGTCTACCCAGAGTTTTAATCCTCTGAGTTATTCTTAGTAGTTTGATTGATCAGACCCAGTCAACTGGTCCTATCCACTCTATTCCTCTCAATTCTAAGTTCCTTAGGTCACCTGATACCTAGAAAATTTGGACTTAGGCATTTCAGTCAAAACTCAGAGTGCTAGCCACAGATCATTGGGTCTCTCTTCTTACTGCTCCTGGATGATGCTATTTTTACTCAATACTCTACAACTGGCTATAGTATTATGCCTCTAGCTGTCTTAGAATATACTTGTCTTAGTGGCATGTAGAATTGGCCCCATTTGAGGTACCATTTCTAAGTCCAACTTGGACTTAGTATTTTCCAAGATGTGATGCCAAACTTTTCCAAGTTCAAACCTGACTTAGGATTTTTATCCTTAGGCCATGTTATTTTACAAAGTCCCTTTTGGACTTAGTATTGGTGACTAGCATGACTATCAGCTTGGAGCCTCACTCATAGTCCTCTACTGGCTAATGGTCCTCAGTTACTAGCATATTGTAGTCTGTTATACAGAATTCACAAATTATAGAGCTGAACATGTACCTTGCATATTAACAGGAGAAGTTTATAGACTGAATTCATTATTCTATCAAGAGGTTTATTCTTGCCTTACTACTAAATATGCTATAGCCACTAAATCTCTCAAGAGCTTTGAATATTCAGACTTAACAGAACCTGTATGGGGACTCAACCTCAGGTTGTATCTGACAGTGAATGACTTCAAGATTTATTTCCTGCAGTACTGAATCTGTGTTGAGCAATTTCTTTACATGCTTGATGCTGTTCATGACTGGGACAATCTGTGCACCCAAGTAATTCTGCAGGAGGAGTTATTAGTGGCTCAATGCAAAGTGGATAACATTCATGTCTAGAAAGTAGATGACATATCTATTCCTCCTACATCTGCACTTCCAAAATCATCCCTCAAGTCAAGGACACCTCATTTACAAGCCTGAATACTGCCTCTGATTGGAACTGGAGGGAGGTGAGATGTGCAGCCATGGGAGAAGAAGAACAGAAACTGAGCAATAGACATACTTCTCAGTACTTAACTCAAGTGGCTGAAATATTGAGGCAGTCCTCTCTTCATGTAAACTCTAAGACAAATAGGTCACATGGGTTTAGTCTGTGAGGGCACAGAAGCTTGTGAGCAGCCTCTTGTCAACCCTATGGATAGACAGAATCTGATGACAATCAATTAAATACCAAAGATAATGGTTCTCTCAGTGATCCTGACTCAGAATCTAGTGAGAGAAATAGGGATAAACATCCTTCTCATTGACCTTCCAAGAGACCAAAGACATTCAGCCAAGCAGTTGACAGCTCTCATGTTCAGTTTGATACTAAGCTCAAGATGGAAGATGTACCTACCTGGAATAGAGACTCAGACACTATTGTATTATGAATCTTGAAAATCAATGATCTTGCTACCATGAGTGATTCTGTTATCCAAGATATAGGTTATATTGTTCCCAAGTGATTGTCAGGAGATGCTGATAAATAGTATCACTCCTTACTGCTACATTATAGACTGGGCTTAGAGAAAAATTGGGCTACACTCTGAGAAGGTATTACAGACTATTATATGAACAAGCATTGGTGGAAACATCAAAAAGATAGAGCCTGAAGTGCAACTTACCAGCAATCAGGAAATACTAGAGAGATGCCTAATGAGTATTTTATCTGTAAATCTGAATTATTGAATACCACAGTCACCTTAACTGATTCTGAGTTAATCATTCAGATAATAGACAGTGCCTCACTAAACTAGAATACAGTATTGACAACACAGCTTTATCAGACAGCAGTCAAATTCTAATCAAGTATCTGATATCATAAGGATCAGCTCCTTCATCTTGATCCCAATTATTGAGAATGTATCTTGAACATATATGAATTACAAATAGCTCAGGATAACTATAATTCTCATTATCAACAGTCTCATACCTGTCTAATTAGCTTGTCTAACAACACCATGCCTCCTCTATTTTCAAAGAATGACTCCAATGTAATGTGACAGAAAAAGGCACCTAAAGATATAGGTGCTCAACCTTGTTGTAACTGGAAGTGGAGAGCATTGGGATCCAGAGTGCAAGTATCATGAGAAAGGTATATGTATAGATAGAACTTGACTTGTGGAAACTGACCTTTCTGAGCTGCAATCCCAAGATGAATATGATGAGCTATACTATGGTCTTGCAGTTGAATTGAGTTCTGATCAGGCCATTCAGCCTACTGACTGTTTCTGCAGACTTGTCACATCATATGGAAATATTGTAGAAATAGTAGCTATGAAGGTAACTCTAAGAATGACCAGAGTAATTTATCTTTCTATCACAAAGCAAGCATTGCTCATACTCACAAGGCTGGTACAGAGGCTTCTAGCTTGACCATGTTAAAGTCACAAATTTCTTCTATCTTCACTTGCAAAGAGCAACATCACTTAGATAAATTACAATGAAAGTTTCAATGTGTTTTTCATATTCAAACACTCTGAGCATCAGGGGAAACTCTTCTGGAATTGAAGGAACATATGTCAAGACACTCAGATTGTACATTTTTGGAAAGTAAGGCAACTACTACTTATGCTGGTATTAATAGAGTGAGACTGAACATAATGCCAGTGATTGTTGACTCTGGATCTGATATCACACTCATGTCTTGCCCTAAGGTCAGAATAGATCAGAAGATTAATCTTATTCAAGTCACAGAAAACTCTATGATTTCTGGATATGTCAATATAGATTTATTCTTTTTGACAAATGAAAGACCAGTGAAAATGAATGTTGATGCCCATATTGTCAATGGAATGACTGCCCCTTTCATTTTAAGTAATCATTTTGCTTATCAGCACTCTATTTCTATTCTTTGACAAGATGGTTCAAGCTATTTGTCCTTCAGAGATACTGGCCATAAGATAGAAGTTGAGAGTTCAACAACTCCTTCAACTATTGATACTGAGGGTAGAGCCTTCAAGATTCAAGTTCTTCCAGAAGCAAGCTCTCTCCTAGCTAAACATCAAACTCACTGATAGTCACAGAAGATTAGAAAACAGCAACATCTCCTTTAAAATCAAGGGGAAGTAAGAGTTGCAAAATATGTCATAATCTCTCCTGAAACCAGTGTCCACATTCCTGTAGAAGTACTGCTTACAGCCAAGGCTCAGAACCTATTTATAGAATAGCATATAGGCTAGGATCCAAACCAGCAAGAATTCTATGGCTCATCTGATTCCTTAATCTCAAAGGAAGACCCTTATCTTTATATATCCAACTTCTCTGATATGCCTATTATTATTAGCCAATGACAGAAAGTAGGACATGCTCATAATCTAAGAAACTGGCTGGATAGATATAAAGAAAAAGATGATTGCATTCAAACAAAGGAATTACATGTATATCTGATAAGAGAATTGATTAAAGCACAGACCACAAACTCCACAGAGAAATCAGGATGAATGATCTAAAGCAACTCTGATATCACATCTAAAGCATAATGTAATGCACCAGAATCTGATGATTCTGCTGCTACAGCACCTGTGGAAGAAGGGCCTAAGACTACAGATTCTCCTACTGATTCATTATCTTCATCAGATATTTTTGATACCCTTGACATTTTCCCAGATCTCACAGATGGTCAGCAGCAATGTCTACAAGATATGATTATTAGAAATCAGAGTGCTTTCAGTCTGGATGGCAAGTTAGGCACTCATAAAACTCAGATGGAAATTAAACTCAAGACTGAAGCTTGATCCATCTCTTTGTCTTTATTTCCAGTCTCTCCTGCTAATCAAGAAGTAATAGACAAATAAATGGATTATTGAACCCTCCGAAAGCTCCTGTGCTGCACTGGCCTTTATTGTATACAGGAATGGCAAGCCTCATATGGTGATAGATTATAGAAAATTGAATGCTCTTATTATCCCTGATGAGTTTTCATTGCCTAAACAAGATGATATAATTCAAGCTCTGAGTGGATCTCAGTGGTTAATGACTCTTGATGTGCTTTCTGGATTTACACAGCTAATTGTACATGAGAATTTCCAAGAAATATTAGCTTTCTGTTGCTATAGAGGCTTTTGGCAATTCACTCAAATGCTGTTTGGATATCATAACAGGTCTAGTGTGTTCCAAAGAGTTATGCAAAATGTCCTTGGCCCATTCCTATGGATTTTTGCATGAGTCTGCATTGATAACATTGTCATTTTTAAAAATTTTTTGATGATCTCTTATATATTGACTGGATCCTACAGGCTATAACAGCTTCAGGAATTACTCTCTCATTGCCTAAATACTATTTTGCTTACCAATCTCTCCTCTTATTAGAACAGAAGATATCAAAGTTAGGAATGTCAACTCACTGAGAGAAAGTTGAGGCTGTTCTTATGCTAGAAACTCCAAGAAATGTGAGTGAGTGGCCAATATTCTTGGGAATGATGGTTTATTTCTCAGCATATGTTCTCTTTTATGCTTGGATTGCTCCTTCTTTATTCAAACTTCTGAAAAAGAAAAATCAATAGGAATAGACTGAATTACATGATGAAGCTTTTGCACTACAGGTTTTATCCAATAAACCCATATAAGACTATGCAACTCAAGGACTTTCTTATAGAGTATATATAGATGCTTGTGACCATTGGCCAGCAGGAATTCTATAACAGATTCAACTGATTTAGGTATATGATTTGATAGGAACACAATTATTTGACAGGCTGAAAACTGTCTTTGATAAAGGCAAGCCAGTCTCACAATTAGTGGCATGTCTTTCAAAGGAATTTAATGATATTTTTACCCTGCAAGGTTGGAATGTTGAATTTGAAAACATGACAGTATATGTGGAACATGTTATTTGCTACTGGTCATGTGTGTTGAAGTCAGCTGAAAGGAATTATTCCTCCACAGAAAGAGAAGCTCTCCCTTTGAAGAAGGCATTAATCAAGTTTCAGCCATATATCAAAGGAGAACAAATTCTTGCTATAACTGATCATGCTGCTCTGACCTGGAGTCAAACATTTCAGAACATCAACTGAAGACTATTAACTTGGGGAATGGTATCCTCAGCTTACCCAAATTTGCACATCATTCATTGAGCTAGCCAAGTCCATTTGAACATTGACCTTATATTTCAGTTATAGCATTGTCTTCTTCTTCAAGAAGGCCCCACTTTGGATGCAATGACTCCTGCAGATCTTATAAAATCAGAGACAAGATCCACTTTGAAATATGTTTGAGGAATTAGGAGAATATTTTGAGGAATGACTGCTCAAGGTAGGGTAAAAATACATTGCATTGGAGATACCACAGCAGGATGAATTTACTATTGACTTAGGAGATATTCTTGTGGTCCATGGAAAAGATATTGTTGCAACTACCCATGTATTTGCAGTGCAAACTCACTCACTTTTAGTAGGACTCTCTTCTGATGAGCTATTTGTCTAGGAGGCAGCATACAATGAGGACTTGCACTTCAATGAGGTTCTGAAATCTTTGCAGGATCTAAAGTCTCATCTCACTCCAGTCTTTCCTTAGTATTTCTACTCAAATGAGAGACTATTTTACTTCAAAGATAGTACAGGAAACAACAGATTATATATGCCAAAGTCACTTCAGCTTCAAGTTATGGATCTGATTCATAATTCTCTTACTGAATCAGCACATGATGGCTATCACAAATATTATAATCAACTTGCTGCTATGCATTACTGGTCTGGTATATCTTATGACTTGAAGAAATACATTGCTATTTGTGATATTTGCCAGAAATCAAAGTCTTGGTGGCATGGGCCTGTTGGACTACTCCAACCAATACTAATCTCTATGTGACCCTTCAAAGTCATATCAATAGACTTCATTCCTGAACTGCCAAACTCCTCTGGATATGATAATATATTGATAATAGTGGACAAACTCACTAAATAGGGTATTTTTATTCCATGTGCAATGGCTATATCTGAAGAAGCCACTGCTCAATTGTTCTTTCAAAACATTATATCAAAGTTTGGAATCCCTGCCTAAGTTATAACAGACTGGGATTTGAGATGGAGACACAGCTTCTGAAAAGAATTATGCAAGTTCATGAGAATGAAAAGAGCCCTCACCACAGCACATCACTCTTAAGTAGATAGACAAATAGAGATTCTCAACCAAGGATTGAAAATTGCTCTGCATGCTTACATAGTCCCCAAAAGAAATGACTAGCATCAGTATCTAGATGGTCTTGCTTTGTCATACAATTTGATGCCACATAGTGCCACTGGATATGCACTGGCTTACTTGTTATTTGGGTACACTCCTACCATAGATTCTACATTGCTAACTATGCCAGAATACATTCCTCAAAATCTAGATGACACAGACAGAAATAGAGGAACAGCAGATAGTGTACATCTTACTCATAAAAATGACAAAGTGGTAGATATGGCAGAACAATTCAAAACCAAATGAATACATGTAAAGGAAGCCTTAAAATTATATCAGGCATATCAACAGAAGTACTACAATCAAGGTTGACTAATCTCAGAATTCAATGAGAGAGACCAAGTCATTTTGAATCCTCATTCCCTAGATCTCTTAAAAGAGGTGAAGAGATGAGGGAAGAAGCTGTTGATGCAATATGACAGACCTTTTGAGATCATCCATAAAATCAATCTGATTATCTATCAACTCATACTACCAGCTTCTTATAGAATTCATCCAATCCAGAACATGGCACCTTTGGAAAAATACCTGGCATCTCCTCCTGAATTTGGAATTTGACTAATAAAAAGCATGAAGCATGCTGACTTTGAGGAACTACCTGAGGTTGAGGTTGAAAAAATAGGAGGAGAAAAGATGTTTAAAGCCTCTGGAAAGCACCAATGTGTTAAGAAATGCCATGTCAGATGAGTTAGATTGCCTGAAAATGAGGACAAATGAAAAACAAAGAAAGAATTAAGGAATGTGCCACAGATTCTAGAAACTTGGTACAAGTCACAGACCCCCTCAGCATGCTGTTACTGAGGGTAAGTATCTAATGACATGATCTCTATTGTTATTCTTTCAAGTAATTCTCAAATTTGTCACATCATTCATTTTAAAATGTCAATATGCTGCTCTGGATTCTTCTTCTATCTTCTTTAGATGAACAATACAAGAACACAGTATTTAAGCTGCTGTTTCATTGATTTAATCTTTATCTTTGTACTCTCTTCTATTCTATTACATTTCTTTTGTTCAAAAGCCTAAATTTGCATCCATTCTTCTATGACTACCTAATTCTAGGCAAGCCTATTTTCTTATATGCCATGACACATAATAATTTTTTTGGCAGAATGTTCACTTTCATCTCCTCAGCTGTCACAACCTTTGATCATGACCATTACCTTCATGTCTTGCACCAGGTTATTCACTACTCTACTATGCTTATAGATAGGTGGTACATAAATTGCTCAGAAGAACCTCAGAAGCAACCCTAAGTTAGGGTTTAAACTAATAGTGGTACACAGAACAGAAGTGGTAGAACCATGAAATGCAATGGGTGCCTCCTCCAGTGCATGAACCATGCATGCACAGGCTGATACTGTAAATGCACAGTGGTAGAGGGTGTATCTGTTTTGTGGTACATCAAGTCTATGACTATTTGCATGTGACATAGGCATAGAGAGCACATTTGTTTCATAGTACATGACCAAATATTGAATTATGCCTATTCTTGCTATTTAGAATTTGTGTAGAGAGTGCATACAGTCTGTGGTACATGAACAAATCTTGAATTATGATCATTCTTGCCATTTAGATTCTTGTAGGGAGTGCATTCACTCCACAGTACATTACCAACTTTCCTTGCTGGCTATTTTTGGTCTTTCAGAGTGAAAAGAGCAGTATAATAATCTGTTTAATTTTGATATGAGATCTGTTGTCCATATACTTTGGAAATATTGGAATATGTGACCAATTGTTCAGTTTACATTGCATTCAAACACTTTTTTTTACTCCCCTTTTCTCTTTGTCAATTTCAATGCCAAGTAGATGACAGAATGGACTTCCCCAGTAGCATCCCTCTGTTTCCATCCATAGTGATCAGTTCTCTTTCATCCATTATTTGCCTTCTGATGTCTGTCTCTGGTTCATCCTCTGATGATTCCTCTTCTTCTCTGTGCTCTCAGAGAATGTGATCTTCTCTTTCCAGCATGTCCATCTCTTTTTGCTTCTCCATTTTTTCTCTCTCAATTATCACTATTATTTCCTCCTCATCCTCTCTGTCCTCCCATTTCTCAATATTCCACAATGTGAGCATGTGGCCACTGGTATCTCCAGTTCTCAATCCATGGATTCTGGATTAGGCAGACTGCCAAATGTGGTAGATCCTCTGTTTGAACTTGTTCTAGTTTAATCAGTTTCCCTTCTGACTTCTCATAAACACACACCCATATACCATCAGACCAAACACACTACAGGAATTGATCAAATGCTCTCTTCAGTGCTCTTCACATATCTTCCACTTGTCATGAAGAAGAAATATCATCCACAAATCCTTCCTACATCTTTATCAATTTTATCTTTCCCCAGTTACTCTGTACAGACTATTGTTTTCTTGTGTTTAGTTTATTTGTAGTCCAGAAGATATTGTCAAACAATGAATTCCACTGGCTCTCTGTTTCTTCTTGCATTCATGCATGTGTCAACACTCCTCCAAGATCATTTTCTTTCATGATAGATGTCAACCATGCACCATTCATTCTATGTCAGAGGAGAATACTCCTATCTACATTTCATCCATCCAATCTTCTGCAGCATGTTAGACACAGATTGCTGTAGTACTTCATTCAGAAACCTCTCAGCATGCTCTTGATATTGTTCATCATATATCTGGTCCTCTAGTAGTGGATTGGACCTGTAGTCATATGATTTTTTCAGCATTTCTATCTGTCAAGCTAGCCTTTCCATCTTCAGCATTGGCTTCTCAGATCAACTCTTGGCTTTCATTGTGCACCCTGTGATCTGGCCTGTTGGCTCCCATTCCACCAATTATCACTACTTTATGCAACTATCTTCTGAACAGAACTTGTTTAGTGTTTTTCTGATGCCCAACAAATTTCAACCTCTCTCACTGGGCACTTGGATGACACTCTTGCTTTGTGGTGTTCTTGTACCACCTCCATTCCATGTTGGCCATGCAATCACACTACTTGGAATCCACCAGAGTCTGCTCTCTGCATATGGTCTTAGCTCATCAGTCCCATCTCTCTTTTGCATGCATGAAAGGATCATGTGATCTTCCTGCCAGTACATACATAGCCAGATTGCATGCATCAACATTTTGTGTCCTGATCACTCTTCTGGGTGTGCATGAAGTGAATTGACCATAAATGCAATGAGACATGTTAGAATGACTGGATAGTAATAGTGTCACATGTCTGTATTGTGCTCTTCATTCTGGAACTGGATTAATGTCACAAATCTGAGAGCTCTGGCTGATTTAAATTGCTTGTGGATACTATTAGCTGTGATTCTCATCATCACATAGCTTCTAGAAAAGGGC